TCCTGAGCTGCTCATGAGCTCCACACATTTGAAATGTGTTTCTGCCTTCTAAACGAGATAGCCCACGCTTGTGTTCAGGTAGACGTGGTCAGGAAGATGGCCCTGTGATATCCCAGTGAAATGCTGCCTAACATTTTGTTGAGTGCCCTGGGGTACTGAAAGTAGAAAAGGTCATACTGGGCCCCCCTTTCTTGATTATGATGCCTCTTACCTTGATCATGTCTAGCAACTTAGAGTCCATTGTTGAATTGGTAGAGTGTGGTTTTCATTTGTTCAATAATGAATTATAGAATACCAACTACATCCTACAGTCTATGAGAAATGCAACAGAGGTGACTTCTGCCCTTGAGTGTCACACCTGCAGGGCTGTCTCCCCCATAATAGCTCCTCCCTCACTGTCAGCCCACAGAAAACAGCCTCTTTCTATAGTTCTGTCCCCATTGTTGAGTTTTCTGTTAGTCCCCAAAGTTTCAAATCATCCTTGAAGTTTCCAGCTCCCTTCTCCGGACGATATATATATGACTAGTAGCAGGTCTAGCGTGTAGGGAGTTCTTGGTTCTATTTCTCCATGCAGAAATATGTCTTTTCCTGTCTCTAACTCTGTTCTATTTCTTTGGTCAAACTGCCTGAGATCCCATGGAGACTCATTATTTTAAAATACTTTTTCATGTGGAGCCTTGTCAAAGGCTTTTGGAAAAACTAAGTAGCTAAGAGGCAAATACTGATCTAGAAGTTGGGAGAGGCCTGGGTTCTAGTCTAGCCTGACATTGTTTTCCACTGAACTTTGGGCAAGCTTCAGATCAATCCCCATTTCAGTTGCTTCATCAATAAAATGAGAATGATTATGCTGACATCATAAAAATTGTACAACCATCAGATGAGAGAGTGTTACTTAAGAATACTTTGCAAGGTCTAAAGCAAAAATATAAGGGCTCATTATTTTGAAATTTCTTTATTCATATGCAAGTTCCTCCCCAAAAGAGCTGCCGTAGATAAAGACATGATTCTTTTACCACTGCCAGGGTAAAGTTTGCATAACGCAGACCCCTAGACAGAATGCAAATTGATTGATATTGGCAATAGGACTGAGTTAAGGGTTAGGGTTTGAGGTCCAGTGTAAGGGTTCAGTATAATGTGTAAACTTATAGAAGCCTGGACAATGAAGTTCATCAGGTCTGGGTGTGACTCCATGTCCACGTTCCCTAGATATGTAACCTTGGACATGTTATTCATCCTTTCATGTATCATCTGCAAACATGGACAGTAGTAATATTGGTGACAGATTTATGAGATGTAAATGTCAGACATTGTCTATTCCATGAAAAGTAATTTCTATTTGTCTGGGTAGAGTATAGAGAATTGAAATCTAGTCCATTCTGCCTAAATTTTAGGACTATTCACCAAATAACCCATTTTACAATAAACTTTTGCTCATGTCTTGTGTTCAGTTCTCTCAGGAAATAGATACATGAGTTCTCTTCTTTCTGTAGTATATAAAACTGTAATCTGGATTGCAGTAGGGGAGAGGAGAAGGAGGAGAGAGACCTTCCCAGTTATTCTCCTACTCTGGCAGAATATGGAGGGTAGGGAACATAAAAGGCCAGGCCTGTGAAAGTTTGTCTCATTGGTGTCTATAGGATCCTTTCTTATTTCACATGATGTCTATTACATCTAGCATATCACCCTATCCTAAGGAGCAGGGAAGTTAGAGGTAGGTGATAAGGAACACTCCCGAGGCACTGAATCTAACTTCTAATGGGGATCAGACCAAGGGCATGGGATGGTCCCTACGGGAGCCTGTGTCTGTCAGGGGCCCAAAAGAGGTGCTCAGCCAGGGTGCTCAGCATCACTCCCTGTTCCCACTCCAGGGCTCTTCCCCAGCTGGGGATGAAGCTTGGTTAGGCCACTGGCCACAACCTTCACTTCACTGCCAGACTGGTTTTGCATAGATTTCTGTTTCATTGAGAAAGTGCCTGGCCAATGTGCACACTGATGTCTCAGCAGTGGGTGCAGAAATGGCGGGGGCCGGGGGAGGGGGGAGAGTGTGCCTCTCGGACATTCTACCTCAGAGCTGAGCATCTCTCTTCAGCCTGGTTTTCCTGTTGTTGTTTTTCTGGTGAGCATAATGGAAATCAGCAAATCAAAGGAGTCTCAATCTCATTTATTTGTTCATTTGAAAATAAATACTGGTCAAGCAATCAAACACAAAACCACAAAATCAACTAGTATCTGAGTTCAGTGAACGTGGTAGAAACAAAGCATTCTGGTGACCCAACGCATCAGCTGCCACCAGTTGTGGTGTCCCCATCTATCATTTAGTTCCTCTGAATAACTCTTTTGTTTTCTTTGATCTCATAAGAGGGTTAAAATTACAAGGTAAAAAATTAAAATGACTGCATAATGGTAGCACTTGGAATGCAATGTGTTGTTTAGTTTTGTTGCTGGAATCACTAAAATTCCCCTAGAGATGCCTTGCAGAGCATTGCATTAGCAGCATATCAAGTCCTCGGATCCACTAACTAACACTTAGCCACATCCTCAGTAGTCCTTGTCCCAACTTATATAGATGGTGTTATTCTCATGGGGCAGGAGTCCTGCTGGATCAGTGTGCTTACATTTCAGTTGACTCTAGAAACATGGGCCAGAGTCCAGATGAGCACTGTGTTGGGTTGGGAAGCCAAAGTCTTTTCTAGGTCTGTTCTCAGTGGTGGGGTGTATGTAGAGGGGGGCATCTCTTCTGGTGGTTTCCACGTTGTCTAAACATTTCTAGGAAGGACTTGGAGATGGCCCAGGGATCATGCAATCATCTAAGTATTCTTAAAAGATTGAGGATGGCTCATGCCTGAGGCACACTTTCCTTCCCTGAGACCATGAACAGAACCTCACAATAAGCTGTTACAGGATCCAACATCTACTTTTAAAACCTGAAGTATAAGCTACTGCTTTCTATGGACCAAAGGGGATCAGAGATGTGGAGCTTCTGGGATTGTCTCTCCAAGTCTCTCCCAAAGCAGAACAGTGATATCTGGGTAGAAGTTTCAGTGACTAGACCCACATACATATATCCAAAATACTTCTGCTAGAGCTACCAGCTAAAGTTGTGCTGGGATCAAGAAAAATGGGCCTTGGCAGTTCGTGTTACTGGAGTTGTATCCATGCCAGTGGATGTCCACACACTCCAGAAGAGAATTTGACATTGCTGCTGCCGCTGTTGCTGTTATAGCAATGGCGGCCACCACTGCTACTGTTTCTGGGATTACCATTTCATAATTGCTTACTACAGCTAGTACAGTGGAGACCCTGGCAACAAAAGTATCTACCACAGTTAGTTAATCTTCCATTCTATTGGGCATGATAAATTTAATTCAGTAGTTATATACATTTCGATTGGCTTTGAAAATTATAAATTTATAAACTCCAGTTCCAGTTGCTTTCGGGATACTATCTTACAAGGACTCCAACATACAGTACGGCTCGTTAGGAAGGGAATGGCTCAGTTGCCTTTAGCCTACTGGCTATGGGTGAGATAGGACCTCTGTTGATCTTTTCTATGTCGAACACACAGATTGCAAGCCCAGTGCCACTTTGAGATCTTTGGCAGCAGTTAACTCTGCAGCTCACACATGATTAAGCCTGTATGATAATGAGTATTCAGAGACAAGTAATGCCTGGGGGGCGCTCACCAACCTAAGACAGAGCACCTGTGTGGCCTGGTCAGGTGTCTCCATGATGGGTAAGGTGACCTGCTGATATCCCACGCAACCTAAGTCAGAAGTTCATTTTTTAGTAAAAGGTGGACCTGTAGGGTCCTGGCCCCCGTTTTGGGTAACTGTTGCCTTGCTTGTGGACCTTGACCTTGATATCCTCCCTATGCTAATTCCCTGCCAGGTTCCACCCTCCTGAATGCTAAAGGGAAGTTCCTTGTCTGTGTATCCTGAATAATGGGCGTTAACAGCTTAGATGCAAGATTGTAAAACATCAGTAGCGAACTTCTGCCCTCCGGGGTTCTCCCATTGTGCTGTAAGCCTGTATTTAAGACTTCCTCCCTCCTTCAATAAATGACATTCTGCATTTAAAAAATATATATTTTTTTAATTGAATGAATACTGTGAATGTAATCTATGCATACCACAAATGTGATTAATATCATGAGTATAATTAATGAATATCATGAGTGTAATTTAAAAAATAAAATTAAAAAATAAAACAAAAAATACTTCTGCTAACAAATGTTAGCCTTTCTTCTTGTTCTCTTATGTGGGATAGTCCCCTGAACTGAAGTTACCTCAATACCCAACCCAGACCCTTCATTTGGATACCAGCCTTGTATTCTTCTCTAAAGACTAGCCTTGCCTCAGTGAATTGATCCTAGGGAATAGAAAACCAGAGACAAAACCAGATTCTTTTTAAAGCTCAGGATGGCCTGATCCCTCCTTCTTTCATGAGCTTCCATTAGTAGGTCACAGTGGACTTATATCACTTATGTCTTTGGTTTTGGACTCTAAGTTCTGAAAGACAGAGCTCCCTGCCTCTCCCTTGACTGTTGGGAGTGTCTCTAGGCTGAAGCTGGGCTGTGAACAATACAAACTCTAAAGCCATTGCAGTGGTTTGAATGAGATGTCCCCCCACAGTCTTGGGCATTTAAAAACTTGCTCTTCATTTGGTGGTGTTATTTGGGGGATGCTTAGGAGGTATGCCTCTGTTGGAGGAAGTATGCCATGGGAAGTGGGCTTTGAGAGTAAAATACTTCACCTACTGCTGGTTTGTCCTCCCTGCTTCATGCTTGTGGTCAAGATGTGAGCCCTCAGCTTCCTACTCCTGCCGCCGTATCTGCCCCTTACTGTCTTGCTTCCCTGTCATCACAGACTCCTCTCTCTCTGGAACTATAAGCCCAGATCAACGGATCCTTGTATAAGCTGCCCTGCTCATGGTGTTTTATCATAGCAGTAGGAAAATAACTAATACATTCACCTCACCTTTCCTCTTCCTTTTCTCTGCAGATCCGGGTAGATGGGCCCAAGGGCAATGCCCTCCAGTATGAGACTGTGCAGGTGGTGGACCCAGGCCCAGTTCTCCGGGACATGGCCTTTTCCAAGGACCACGAGCAACTCTACATCATGTCAGAAAGGCAGGTAAGGCTGTTGAGCTCTGCTCGACACTTGTCTTGCAACTAAATACTAGCCTGTGGCTCCGCAGAAACCTACGGGAGGCCAGCTGCAGAGAGGTGATTTGATTTATTTGGCTCAGTGTGTTGCCTTTTAGTTATGCTGCCTGGGGACTAGGGCTGAGTCTGTTGTAACAGGAATGGAACATTTGAAACATGAAAATATCCAGGGTCTAGGACAAATCCACTAGCTTCAAAACCATGTTGCAGATAGGCTCAAAACCAACATTTACTACCTTGAAGTGTAGAATCCCAAGTTCTTGGTCAGATTTCCCTACAGAAAGGATAAACACCTATCAAAGTCACCTTCCTGGTCCCAAGAGGTTTGTGTGATTGCAGAGATTTATTGCTGTAAGAAACCTAGATAAGTGAGCATCATAGAAGAGCCTGATGGATGAAGGTTTGGAAAACAGTCAGTACAGTGAAATGAGATGATACATGGTATGTTCTGAGCATTCCCATGTACCCCTAACTCTGTGGAACATCTAGAAGATTCCATGAAAGCCAGTCTGTGAACAGATAGGGCACAGGGATGATGAAGTATTTTGCTGAAACTAAGTAGGACTTAGCAATGTTAGATTTGGTTGCAGAGCTTAGCCAAGTACTAAGTAAGTTGTTCAGGAGTCCTCAGTGCAGATCAGAGACAATTTCATATAATTAAAGGTGTTCCCTATAGTCCTTTAACTTACTGCCCAGAGTTGTATATGCCACAATATATCCCGGAACCCCAAATGTGGATAGGCATTGCTGCACCTCTGCCCCATTATTTGCAGGGGGTCATATTGGAAGCTGTCCATCTAGCTTATGAATATGGATGCCTTAGCACTGGGTGACAGAGGCCATGGCCATGAGGGACAGCTCTCTCTCTTATTCATCTTCATTAGTGTGCCCGGACTCTCTGGAGGACCTTGCTGACAGAGTCTAGATTGTTCTGCCTGTCCCAACTCCACAGAGTGAGGGAGATGAATTCCACATTATGCCACCCACAGTACTTGTGCTTTATGTCCTAGAAGCCCACAGTAGCCCCGCCCTCCTTAGGAGCTTGATGACGTCTTCTCTCAATGTGGGTCTCTCAATCTGCCAGCTTCAGCAACATAGGGATTCATTGTGGTGCCCTTTGGAAGCCACCATGGTTCGGGGATGGTGAAGTATTTTGCTGTGGGCTTGGATACCACTGGGATGGAATGAGCAGCTGGTAGTGAATCTATCCCCATCTGTATTGTTTTTTTCTTTTCTTAGCATGATTCCCCCCTCCTCACTCTTGGCCTAATGCTATGACCATAGGAGATGAGGGTGGGGGATAGTGTTCTTTGATGGAATCGACTTCTTTAAGGAAGGCCCAAGACCTGGTATGACATTGAACATGTTTGTTTGTTTGTTTGTTTTTTGAGACGGGGTTTCTCTGTGTAGTTTTGCATCTTTCCTGGAACTCACTCAGTAGCCCAGGCAGGCCTCAAACTCAGAGAGATCCACCTGCCTCTGCCTCCTGAATGCTGGGGTTAAAGGCGTGCACCACCACCGCCTGGCAACATTGAACATTTCTATATGCCTTGCCTGATCTGAAATCCAGAATTCCTAAACCTGGGACTTAAAACATGGAAGAACTTTGAAAGATGTGAAAGCTAAACTACTAGTGTAAAACGATCCATCCTCTCTAGTAACACTGAGTGTGAGCATCCCCCTGCCTTTGGAGGACCCCATTGAAGACTTACTTGTCTCTTTGTTCTCATCCAGCTCTGTCTCCTCTAGTGTGCTCCCTACCCACTCAAGCGTGGTGATGAGACAAGCTGGGAACTTGATTATGGCATATTGGACAAGAAAGAAAGGCAGGGGTGAGAAGGTCAGATGTTCATCCATTTTGGAGTTGTTCTTCACAGAGACCCAAAATCAAAACCAGAGGCCCTACTGCCTGGGTCAGCACCGGTGTCCAGTGGGTTGGCAGACTCAGTGTGTAGCACGGTGGTGAAGGGCACAGGCCCCACAACATCTGAGTGTCTTAGTTGTTTAACATTGCTGTGAGCAAACGTCTGACAGGAGCAGCTTAAAGGCGATTTTATGAACTTGGAGTGCAAGGGATAAAGTCCATCATGGCAGAGAAGACCGGAGAGGGTCAGTGGTCAGTTCATGGCGATTGGAGCTTACAGTGGCTTGCTCAGATTGGGGTAGCAAACAAAAAGCGCAGAACTCAGCCTAGATGTGGAATCAGGTTGTAACCCTTGAAGACCTGCTTCCAGTCATCTTTGTCCACTAGCTTGGCCCCATGTCCCAAAGAGCACATAACTTCTCAAACCAGTGCCACCATTTGAGGACCAAGTGTTCAAACACATGAGCCTGTGGGGACATTTCACACTCAAGCTGTAACACTGAACGTCAATGCTGACTCTTCTATTTGCTAAACATAGTGTCATGTAAGTTCTGGAGCTCATAAAGGATCAGTACCCTCTATTGTCACCTAACAGCTAGTGCTCCAACCGTAAGTGAATATAATAAGCTTAGCCATGAGGTCAATCTCTGGATTTCAAGCTAGACATGTTCTGTTTTGTTTTGTTTTTCCAGACAAGGGTTTCTCTGTATAGCTTTGGAGCCTGTCCTAGAACCCACTCTGTAGACCAGGCTGGCCTTGAACTCACAGAGATCTGCCTGCCTCTGCCTCCCAAGTGCTGGGATTAAAGGTATGCGCCACCACCGCCCAGCTTGTCAGACCTGTTCTTAACTGACTGCGTGATGGTAGACACACCGTTTGAGTTCATCGTTCTGATTTACTTGCTCTGATACTGTGATAAAACACTGACTCAAAACAACTTTGAGGAGGAGAGGATTCATTTCCACCATTGTTGGGATGGTGGAGTCCATCGCTGATGGAAGCCAAGGCAGGAACTCAAGGCATGAAGTGAGGTAGAAACCACGGAGCTATGCTGCTCACTTGTTTGCTTTCTATGCTTTACTCAGCTTGCTTTCTTAGATATCTCAGGACCACCTGTCTAGGGGTGGCACTGCCCACAGTGGGCTAGAGCCTCATACATCAATCATTAACCAAAAAGTTCCTCATGAAAATGACCATGGGCCAATCTAATAGAGACAGTTCCTCAATTGGGTTCTCTTTTCCCAGGTGACTCTAGTGTGTGTCAAGTTGACAAATCACTGGCACATTCCCTGTCTTGACTTTATCATCTGTAACTAAGAGTAACAGTGATGAACTGTTTCATTTGATAGCTTGAATAACCCATAAGTAACGTGCTAGTCTTCAGATTTACTATTTTTTTCTTCATGTGAGTAAAGATCTAAATATTCCTGAAGGAAGTGAGTTAATAACATGAAATACCAAGGAGTTAGTCCTGGGATTCATGATCTTTTTCTAGAAAATCTCAACTACTATGTAATTAAGGGTTCATGGACCATATGGGCTCTGTTGCATCATCCAACTCTGCTGTCTTGACATAAAGCTGTCATTGAGAGCATACAAACAAACAGGTATGGCTGTGCACAGTGCCACTTCATTCATAAAATGAGTAGCAGGCAATAGTTTTACAAAACTTGAGTCAGTTCTTAAGAGGAAATGTATTGAAGGATTCCCCCAGCATTGATACCTTGGTAGAGCTATTGTGTAAAGAGGCTCAGAGAAATTTAGGAAGCAAAGCCTTCATCTATGACCTTCAAGGCTTAGAAAAACCAGGCATCTTTGGACTACTGCTTCTAAGGTCCCTCAACATTTTGGATTTCCTGTTACCTCTGTGGTTGCTGCTTCTTGATTTCTACCTGGACCTTCCTCCTCTTTTCTTTATCCTCTTAGTGTTATACTATTATTTAATGATGCTATTCAGCCTCATGGCTTCACATCTTCTCTGGTACTCTCCACCCAGTCCTTCTAACATAGCTAATTGCCTTTTGGGCATCTTCACGTATGTGCATTTCATACACTTTCAACTTAACATGCCTGAGGCCACATTCTTCATCTTCCTCCCTAGCATCCCTCATCTGTAGTAATCCCTGTCTTAGTTAATAGCAACCAAGTCATCCAAACTAAAAACCTTATAGCCATCTTTGGCTTCTTTTTTAACCCATGACTCTACATCCAACATATCAGAAAATCTATTGATTCTACAAAATATTTCCAAAATGTGACCATTTCCCCTATCATTACTATCACCCTGGATCAAGCCTGGTATTTTCAATAGACCCCTGTCTGTTTTCTCTGTAACCACCAGTATTTTCCCAGACTTTTCTCAAGGCACATAATCCTATCTCATTAAGTTTAAGTTAGAACATGCCATCACGTTCTAGATCAGCATATCCTTCAGCACTGATGAGAACCAGAAGACCTGTGTATTCCTTTTATTCATTCATCTGGGGATTGGTTTTTTTGAAGCAGGTTGTGTATCCCATCTGGGGCTTGCTATGTAGCTAAGGATGACCCTGAATGTCTAATCCCCCTGACACTGGGATTGTAGGCATGCTACTGTTCTAGTTCCATTCCTGTTGCTGTGATAAAGTACTCAGACAAAAGTCACTTAGGGAAAATTTATTTGATTTACAATTTCAGGTTCTAGTCCATTATGTGGGGAGGTCACAGTGGCAGGGGCTTTAAGTTGCTAGTCATATTACATATGCAGTCAAGACCAGAGATAGATAAATAAACACATGCTTGCTTAATTGCTTGCCCAAATCTTAATTTCTACATACTTATATAGCTTAGGACCTTCAGAGTAAGGAATAGTTCTGCCCACAGTGGGCTGGGTCTACCCACATCAATTAAGGCAGTCAAGATAATCCCCCACAGACATGCCTGTAGGACAACACAATGAAGACATACCCTCAATGAGAATCTTTTCCCAGGTTATCCTAGATTTTGTTAAGTTGGCAATTAAAGCTAACCATCACAGCCACCATGCCCTATGTATGTTCCATGTTCCAGAACTAACTGACCTCATCAACCCCTATCTCACTCTGCTCTCTACACCAACTCTGCAA